TACTTAGCTGCCTTTGTTATTTAAGAGTCTTTCTGGTTTTCGTAAGAAATTAATCTGTTTTGCTTTTCCTCTCAGGTTAAGCTACAGGAAGCTGAATACTTGTACACTGAAACAATGCTGAGATGCACCTTTATTTTCCTTTCCTCCCCACTATATCTCTGAAATCCGTGGTTATCATTTCTGTCCCAGTCTTCTCCCAGTTTTCTTAGCATAAAACAAAATGTTTATTTTTAAAGATCAGCTAATACAATCTCATTATGGCTTGTATTTTGAGTCTAGTATAAACATTTGTGTTTGTCAGGCTGATGTGAGTACCTGGAAGGGGTATTTGTGAAGAAAAATGACAAAGCTGAATTGGAAGAGATAGATAATTATATCCTAAGTACTGGGTTGATACATCATACACAAATTACATTTTGAGTGTTCCTTAGGTCTCACTATTAGGGATTTTTGGTGATTATTGACAGAACGTATGCATGAAAAGGAAAGACAGCAGAGACATGGAGAGCAAAGAACAGATAAATACAAGTGGAATGCCAGTAAAATTGGAATGAGGTGAGTACAAGACGGAAAGTGTGGAAGATACAGACTGTCACAGATGGAAATCTCTGTGGCCATCTTTGGCTAGTAGCAAGCCCAGAAGAGTCTGAAAAAACATCAGAAGAATATTCCTTGAAATTGGAACTGAAATAAAGAGTACTTTTAATACACATGGCATTTTGTAAAAATAAATGGGGTTTTTCTCCCTGAACATAGAAGATAAAAAGTATCAGGTATTTGGTGATATGTAAGAACTTCTTTTTCTGTCCCATTCCCTTTTCACTGTACATGGCACTGTGAGCTCACACAATCCCTTATGTGAGGGGATAATAATCCCTTGTGGGGGAGACTCTCCTTAGTGAAAGTCGTAGGCTGTGTCAGTTTGTCATTCGTACTTCCCACTTCTGCTAGATTAGCTTCTAATCTAATATAAATGGGGGATTAATTAAAAACAGTAATAGCAACAACAACACACCAAAAACCCCTCACAATCTGCCTAAAATGTCTTACAATTTCAAAAATATTTGAGGCTAAAAATGAAGGTTCTGGGAAGAATCCCTTTCACTTGCTATCCTTAAAGTGAGTCTTTTCTTGAAATGAGTAATGATTAATTCAGCTAATTTCTTCTTCAACCCTACTTCCTATCCAAATCTATTTCCAACTATCTGTCTGATTAATTCATTCTCACCCTAGTCTTCATCTTGTTCACCTTAACTGGTAGTAATGTGTGTGGGCTGAATTAATAGACTTTCTAATGTAATTTCAGAGATTCATATTTATAATGTTGTAACACAGTGCTCTGCAACATCACTTAGTCCAGCAGTTTTTGTCCAACTCCTTGCAGCATAAACTTGCACAGCAGCACTCATTTAACTTGGAGAGTGGTTGGCAAAATATTAGCTGTTGAATCAAGAAATTCCCTACAAATTTGTGTGGTTCTGCATTAATCTGAATTAATTTTCACAAAACTGTGCTGTTCTATTGGTACAATTCCATTCACAATAACTACTGTTCTATTTAACTTTGTATACAGTTGGCATGATGGCATAAAAATATATACCGGAACTATATTCCACTCAAATCTTAACCTGTTTACACATTTAATAGACATTAATATAAAAAAGTGCATTTTCTTGAGGAAAGACAGGAGTGATAATAAGTGATTTATGATGATTTATATTGCATCAGGAGATTTTTCATGCTTCACTTGCCAAATATTTGCTATTTATTAATTTCTTTTTCCTTTTATAAGATTTCTCAGTTTGACAATGATGTGCTTCTTAATTTCATATCACCTTAAACAGATTTTTGACAAATGCTAATATTAAAAGTTAATTGTAGCTTCTACATCTAAATTAGCATAACTGAAATACTGTGTGTGCTTTCCAGAGAAAACAGATACAATTTTAGGGATTTTTTTCACTGAAATTGTCTTTTACCTTAGCTTTGACAAAATTGCCAAGAAATAATCTTTACAGGACACAGGTCATGTGAAGGGTATATATAAGATACTTGTATAATACTTAGATACTCATAATTCTTTTCTTTAAGCCATTATGTACACAGTATTTCCAGAAATGACAGTGTGGAGTTCAATCAATTGCCAAAAGAAAAAAAAAATAGAAGGCTCAGAAAGCACCATTATTTCTTCAGTAAGTAGAAATTTTCCTTGTGCAATCTTTCTGGAAGTCAGGAAATATCAGCTGTTTTGTGATATGATATCTTTATTGCAAGCATAATAAATACTCAGCCATTTTTTTTGTTACTGATACAGAGTCAGGTTATTGGAAACTATGTAAGGGCTTCCATAAAGAACATACAAGAAAATGGACTCTGATAATAAATACATATATGCAAATGTATTTTGTACAGGTACATATTTTGTACATGAGCTCATGTACTCAGTGGACTCTTGGTTTATTGTACATGTATTGGTGTACCTATTGGAAATTCATGATTGTCAGTCCCTTCCTATGTCCTCTCTGTGTCCTGCTGAAATATTAATGAATCACACAACAATTCCCTGATATTTACAGTCATTTGACACCCTGCCAACTTAAAAATATTTTATAAGCAGTCACAAGTGCACTTTGAACTATTAATTTGTTGTTCTTAAAAGAAATACTGTGTTGGCATTTTAACAGTGTTTTAAACCTTGTTTTTAGAAGATGGTGCTGACAACTTTTTTCCCCTAATACTGGTTTACTCCACCAGCAAACTCAGAATTGGCATGTAACTTTGGTTACTGTTTTCACGGGTAGAACATTGCCTGTGGGCAATCAGAGGCATGATCTCAACTGCTGCTCCTCCAAGCCTTTGCTTATCTCTAGAAGAGATCCACTGGAGAAGGTTTTCTCATTTTTCTTGCTCTGCTGCAGGTATTCTTGATCTATGACACATTTAATAATTACCATCTGGACAACATGGCTAGCTTCAGCACTTTCAATGGAAAGATTTTTTTCTAACCAGTCAGCATTTTTTGGAACTAGATTTGGGAAGAATCATGAATGTAAGATGGAATACTGGCAGTTGTGGTGCCCTTTTACTAGCTGCAGCTGAAATATTGAATTGTGGTATGAGGATACTTGGAACAAATTGTGTCAGTAAAAACACTGCCAACAGCTTGTCGACTGAAGTTTGTGGTTCTCCTAATAGTAGCAAACAGAATTCATGTTAATGACTAGGAAATAATACTCTCCATGGAGCTCAGCAACAGGTTACATAAATGATCAGCAGCTACCTACTTCCAGCTACAGTTTTCTCTCTCGACTGGCAATCCAAAAAAATGTTGCTTAGGCATTGGCTACAGCTAGTTGTGGGACAGTCACAGAGATTAGGAGCAAATTCTAAACAACATTTGGGTGCCCAAGTCATGCTCTGAAAAAGGTAAAAAAACGTAGATAGAATTTGTTGTTAGACACTGAAAAACTCTCCAGGTCTTTGTTTACAACATTTACTGAATGTAAAGGAGATATTTTGCTATGTGTCATGCATCCTAAAAAGACTTGCCAATTTTGTCTTCAGATTTACTTCCATTTAAAGAACTTCCCACATAGCTTCCTTTCACTTAAATAAAGAAGAAGGAAAGAAAGTCCCCAAGATGTTTCATTGTTTGAACACAGTTGGTCCAATTTGGGGGCTGTGCTTGCTTTGAGGTAATAATGACCATAACATTCCATGGAAACTTATAGAGTTAATTAACTAGCTAATTTTTTTCTGGAGCGTCTGTGCAGGACAGATGACTATGAAAAAGTGTGTAGGTTTTCTCCTTAGTGATTGAAATAATAAAAATATTTCTTTGTCTTCCAATAATTTTAAAGGAGTTAAAGGAGTCCTGTTCATTTTTTAACCTCTAATAAAACCAGTTGTTATATTAGAAAAACAAACAGGAAGTGTTTTTCCACAGACAGTCACAGAAGGAGCGGACTGCACACTGATTGTTTTGGAGTACACAAGAGTGGAGAGGAGCTGCTGCTGCTGTTGCTGAGGTGTGTGGAAAGGCGACCTCAGCTCTGCCTGTCGGGAACAGGATGCTTTGTTGTCCTTTTAGTGGCAAGGTGGTGATTATCATGTGTCCGTTTCCCTGCAGCGCCATGGACCCATGATAACATGGACCATCCAGGATAGCAGGCAAATGTTATCAGCAGGAAAACAGGCTTTAGCGGGAGAGTAGAACCTCCTAAAAGGTGTCGAGGTGTAAGCATTAGAAACAAGCAAAAACACATAGCGTTTTTAATACACCACATCTGAACAAACAGCTGTAAGCAGACCTAAGTGAAAAGCCTAATGTTGCCTGCTGGTGTCCTTTCCCGGAGCATCGTGGGAAGAGGTGCTCTCTGGTGGACAGAAGGAAAAGCTGGTCTGAGAAACGTGCTGCTGCGCCCTCGGTGTGCTAGATCGACCTCAGAAGGGTACTCGAGGCTGAGAAGCAGACAAGAGTGCGTTTTCTCTGTGACAACCTGTCGGGAGAGTGGGGCTGGGAGGAGGAAGCTGATACAAAAGCATCCAAAGTGCCCGAACTGAGGCCCGCGGATGTCCCGCGCACCCGGCTCCGGTGTGGACGCGGACCCCGGGCTCCCCTAGGACATGCCCTCGAGAGCGTCCCGGTCCCGGCTCCGAGCGCCAGCAGCTCCGGCCGCTGCTGTTCGCTGCCCAGCTGCCCGGGGCCGCACGGACACAGCCCAGAGCCTGCGGCTGGCCCCGCGGCCGAGCGGAGCTGAGCGGAGCTGCCCGCCGACCCCCGGGCGCTCCGTCAGCCGGGGCATCGCCGTCCCCGCACGGCAGCCTCTGCGGGAGCGGCGGAGGCTCCGCCTCCGCCCGATCGGGAACGGCCTGATAAAGGCAGGTGCGGGCGAGCAGCGGGACCCCGGCTCGAAGCATCTGCTTGTGCACGGAGCCCCTGAGCCGTCCTTCGCCACCCCGCGCGGGGCGGGACACGAGGGGACACAGGGGACCCTGCCGCCGCCGGCCGCGCGCGCCGCTGTCCCGCCGTCCTGAGCCGTCGGGCTTGTCTCTGCGAAAGGACAAGGACCTCGCCCCCAAGGACCTCCGAAGAGGCGGGATCTCTCCGGGAAGGGGAAGCAGGATTTCGTAGTGTGGCTTGAAGATGAGGCAAGTATCTGGAGTGGCGCTCCTCCTGGGGCTGATGGCTCTCCCAGAGGCGCTGGGACAGAGAAGCTCGGAAAGCCATAAGAATAGCAACCAAAGCTTTGCCATCGTCTCTTTCAAATGGGATCACGTCAAGGAGCCCTATATCATTGCACTCTGGATACTCGTGGCCAGCTTGGCCAAAATCGGTAAGTCTGGAGTTATATATTAATACATGTCCTCTCCCTTTCCCTTCCCCCTTGCCCTTCTCCCACCCAGCGTAAATGAAGAAAGCTTATCATAGGTCCGCGGACCCGTTTTCAGGGGGTTTACTGTACTCTGTCCTGATTTCATAATACTGCCCTACACGGTGCTTAGCAGTGTGATTTTCACCAGCCTCGAGGGGTTACCCAGTTCATTTTCACCGCCCACGACTCTGTCTTCTGCATCTGACTCCTTGTAAGCCCTTTCAATTCCCTGAGACCTTGCATTCCTCTTGCTCCCAGGAAAAACTTTTTGCAAAAGTGAAACAGAAATCGGGCCTTACTGCTTACACAATATCTATTGCACTTTATGATATGCTTTTCTTCTGATTATAGTCGTTAGCTATATCAGTTGGTAACATCAAAAATAACCAATGCAAACTGCACATATGAGCTTAACATTCTCTGTTTTGAAGTGCATTGCTGGATCAGTGAAAGAGCATCCTTTATAGAGAAAGACAGTATGTATTATCAGACCATCTGATGTACCTGAAAAAAAAAAAAAGCTTTAGAGCACCCAGAATTTTCTTCAAGAAATTGGAGTAAGTGAAAAGCCAGGACTTAACCTAACTTCAGTGTAGTTTAAATTAATTTATATGAATGGTCCAACTCTTGTGTTCTGAACTTTGTGACTTTTCCAAAAGAGATCTTGTATCAATAATGCAGTTTGCTGAATGAGAAAAGTCGCCGTTTAATTAGAATGTGTTTTACTTGGTTGATGCTATTACTTTCAGACCTTTTGACTTTGGATATCTAAAAACACATCTCCAGTTTGGCTGATACTGTAAATGACATTTTCATTTAAAATAAATATTTTCTATAATCAGTCTCATCTCAGAAGGTCAGCTGAAAATCCAACTGAGGACTTTTCTGAACTTGTACTGTTAATACTAATTTGGTATACCAGAATCACATTCTGTAGATTTTTCATGCCACAGAGAATGAAAGATGTAAAAAGGTATACTTAGGTATATCTTATCTAGCACATAAGCCAAGCATAATAAGACCTGAATGGAAAATGCTGTCTCCAAACACA